AATGCATATAAATATAAATATAAATGTGTGTGTGTGTGTGTGTGTGTGTGTGTGTATGTGTGCGCGCGAATGGTCTATTAGCTGTTAATTTCAAAAGCCACATCTGTTGTTTAATTATACGCAACTTGATTTTCGACGATTGTTGAAGTTGGCACTGAAAGGGTAAGGTTGAAGAAGCCACGTACAGTCGAGAGTACGTACAGCAGGCAGTATAAGGACGTAACAGAAGTAAGCCTTTCCGCCTTAGTTTCGTCAGTACATGTTTACTTCTAATTCTAAGAAGATATACAAGAGAAGACACTAAAACACTGTCGGCTACACAAGGTCAGCTACTTCCAATAAAAAGGCGTCCTTCAATAATGTCACTGCGTTACAGTCGCCTCCGATTTATTTCGCTCTTCCTTCTCAGATCGCGGCGTTTTAGTATTACTTTTGTGTCACCCTTTTTGGGGAATGATCAGCCAGTTCCTTCTTTCCGATGTAGGATCTGTCGTCCTTATCTCTCCTCTTTTTTTTGTGCATTTTTTTGCTCTCTAGTAACACCTTTTCTTAAGCACTTATTGCATTGTAAGTGCCGTAAAACACTCATTAAAACAAAATAAGACCAATGTTTTCTTTGCAAGTGCCGTGACACTTTTACTGTAAGTAAAAATGCTCTCTTGGTCAAGAGGTTACGGTGTTCGCCTCTCAATAACTCTCATTCAATAGATCCCGACCGTCATGGATTCGAAACCTTACAGCGACGGAACATTTTATACATTAAAAACGTCTCCCTTCACTACCTTTCCTGCTCTCTAACCAAGTTATGTTGTCTGCTTTCGTTTCCACTTTCTAATCCCTCCCCCTGCCCCCTTTGCCCCCTCCTCTGGGATCCTGACTCGTTCAGCAGCCTTTCTACTGCTACTCCTTGGCTCCTTACTGCTGTCTTTCAGCCACACCCCTGATCTTAGGGTAGGTAAGATCTAACACCTTGCCCTCTAGGATAAGGGAGAAAAATCTCGGAGGTCCTGTGAGAAAGTTGCGCACCTTAAAGATCCCATGGTGGGCCAAAATCGATAAGAGTAGGCTTCGGCCGCCACCTGGGTAAAATTCAAAATTATCGATTACTTTAAAAAAGTAACATCTTTATCTAGCTGTTGGTCATACCTCTCCGTGAGTAAATTTCTGCATGGCTATGCGGACTATGCTGATCGTCCAGGTGATGTGAAGAAACACCAGCGCACATAGCAATGCGTTGAGAACCCAGAACAGCCCGGCATCAGGGCCGATCACGCTAACCTCTTGAGTCTCAAACATACTGCTGCGGATTATCCTGAAGGATAGAAATCAATCTGGAGTCATTTTAGACGAAACACGACCGCCCCATGATTTATGTAATCAAATTGAGCTGAAAATAGTGAAAATATCATGTAATGCATTGGCATATTATAATCACTCATGATCCTCAAAATACAGGTATTCTGAATGTTACGTAGTGCATTGATAAAACTTCCAGATCATAAAAATATATTCGTCTTTAATTACGTATGTATGGCGCCGGTGGCCTACTGGTTAGTCTACGGGGCTCGTAATCGTGAGGGTGCGGGTTCGGGGGTTCGAGCCGCGGGCCCGACGTTGTGTCCTTGGGAAGGGCACTTTACACGAATTTTCCTCACTTCACCCAGGTGAGAAAGGATTCCCAGCCATAGATAGCGAAAGATCTTGTCCGTATGTTAGTGTTTTGGCGCCTATAAATGGCCGCTTGCACAGTATGCTTCCCATAACGTTGAGATTGCTTCAGAATGCTCTCTGGTCTGATGGGGTATCAGTATAGATTGTGAAGCGTAGAGAGCTTACTGTTGAGAGGGGATTTGCGCTATACAAATGCTATTATTATCTATTATTATAATATATTGTATGTCATAGTTATGTCTAAAATGTATGCATGTATTGTTCCCCATCAATCTATTTTTAAAATGCATTCCGAGTGACGGCGTTGTTAATCAGCTGAGATGTGAAAATTAATGTCAAGGGAACATTCCACTTATGGCTGACCATAAAAAAACCAATGATAACATTTTGAACTGGTTATCCTCTATTGCTTCACTTCGCTTCTTGATACACCTGTTTCGACACTGCTCACCTGGACTGTCTGTCTGTCTGTCTCTCTCTATACTCTCTCTCTCTCTCTCTCTCTCTCTCTCTCTCTCTATATAT